ACCCCCCAATCACTCCAGACCCCCACTAATTGCTCTTTTAGCTTCTGTAAAATGCTTGGCTGCTGCTTTAGACATGCCTAGACATACCCTGGCATGCCCTGACCCCCACCTGCTATTCCCCACCCCCCCCTTCCAGGAAACTAGATTAAGCAAGCCTGTACATAAAAACTGCCCTATAAGGTAAAAACGGAGACTCCTGGCCCCCTTAGGTAACAGTCAGCACATTCCACAGCCCTGAGAATAACACCTACCAATAAGAAACTTCCAGGGCTGCATCTTATACATCCAATTGGTTTAAAATTATGTTGCTGCGCGCTGGCTCCTTGAACCAACCAAAATGTATCTTCAGTATCTCCCCCCCCCACCCTGTTAGGGTTCCAAACAGCAGCAGCTTCCCCCCGACCCTGCCCTTCCCTGACATCTTTCCCTTCCCTGCCCTTCCCTGACATCTTTCCCTTCCCTGCCCTTCCCTGACATCTTTCCCTTCCCTGCCCTTCCCTGACATCTTTCCCTTCCCTGCCCTTCCCTGACATCTTTCCCTTCCCTGCCCTTCCCTGACATCTTTCCCTTCCCTGCCCTTCCCTGACATCTTTCCCTTCCCTGCCCTTCCCTGACATCTTTCCCTTCCCTGCCCTTCCCTGACATCTTTCCCTTCCCTGCCCTTCCCTGACATCTTTCCCTTCCCTGCCCTTCCCTGACATCTTTCCCTTCCCCAAGGGAAACGTGTCCCGTGTGAAATAAAGCTGTATCCCACTGAGAATTCTATCTGCGCACTCGCTCTCCATCCCAATTTTTAACCTATCACCCCCCTTTGTCTGAAACCTATAAAAGGCTCCACTCTCCCTTACTCTGGGCTCTCAGCACGAATCCGTTGAGTTGGTGAGGCCTGAGAGCCTGAGCTTAAGCCCGAATAAACCATAAACCTTTGCTTTTGCATTTTGGTGTGTTGGGTCCTCGGTGGTCTTTTGGGGGTCCAGTGGATGAGGTACAACATTTGGGGGCTCATCTGGGATCCCCCCAGAGACCTCCGAGAGGAACCGACCCCAAAAGGTTTGTGATCAACCGGGTAAGTTTTTGTAAAACTGTGTTTGTCCGCCTGTCTTCTCTATACTTTCCCTTTGGTCACGGCCATCTGATCTCAGTTTTTTGTCATTGGAACGCTAGCAAGGCGACCTGGAGGATTCGGGAGACGTCCCCATCCTCGTCAGGGTGGGTGTTCCCCACTGGACACCCCACCAGGACACTAGTCCATCTGAAACCTCAGAGGACCTCGCGACCCTGTTGGGACACGCGAGTCCTACCTGTATGGTCTTTGGCACAATCGAGCCAGGGAATCCACACGACCGAGAGTCCAGACCATCTGAAAGCCGCGGTAGTTTGATTTGGTCCCTCTGTCTGTGTCGTTCTTGTGTCTTGTGATCTTCGTTCTAATTTCTTTGTTGACGAAATGGATGGGACTGATAAATACTATGGGCAACACCCCATCTTCCCCTCTAGATCTTACACTAGTCCACTGGGGGGACGTTAAGACGATTGCCCATAACAATAGTGTAGATGTAAAGAAAAAGAAATGGACAACTTTATGTTCGGTTGATTGGCCCTCCTTCAATGATGGATGGCCCCCTGAAGGGACTTTTAACCTGAGTTTGATTTCCAGGGTAGAGGACCACGACTTCCGCCCACAGACGGGCCACCAGGACCAGATCCCATACATCGTCACCTGGCGAGGCCTCATCGAACGACCTGATGGCCCCCCAGCCTGGGTCAAGTCCTTCCTTCCCCTGATTAATCCAACTGCTCCCCCTCCACCTCTGCAGGTCCTCCCTCTCAGACCAAAGGTGGAAGAGAAACCCATTCTCCAGGGAGGCACAGAGGAGAACGATATCTTTTCCCCACCCTACTCCTCTCAGACGGGCACCCCACCAACAGTGCCACAAGTGCAGGCCCCACCTCCTAACCCTGAGGAGCCACCATCGCTTCCACAGGGACCTGCGCAGGCCACACAGAGCTGGAGAGGGGCAGCCCCCCAGCCTGACACCATTGTCCTCCCCCTCTGACCGGTGGGGCCCCCAGACAGAGAGGGCAATCAGCCCTTTCATTACTGGCCCTTTGCCACCAGTGATCTTTACAATTGGTGCTCACAGAATGCACCTTTCTCTGAAAACCCCAGGGACTTGATTAACTTATTGAAAACTGTTCTCTTCACTCACCAGCCCACCTGGGACAATTGCTACCAGCTCCTGAGTGTCCTGTTCACTACTGAGGAGAGAAACAGGATCCTGGAGGCAGCCCGGAAATTGGTTCCCGGCCCCACCGGGGACCCTACCACAGACCCAGGCATCATTAATGCCAGCTTTCCCCCTAGCTGTCCCAACTAGGACTACAACATGGCAGAAGGTAAGGAGGGGCTCCTGGTCTACCGCCAGACTCTGTTAGCGGATCTCAAAATGT